ACAAACCTTCGATAATAACCAGCAAGTTCTAAAAAACTTTGGACCTCTATAATATTATTTGGAGGTTTTCACTCCATTATAGCTTGAACTTTCTTTGGATCCACTTTTATGCCTTTTGCCGAGACCACATGACCAAGAAAAGCAACTTCTTACAGCCAAAACTCACACTTTGACAGTTTGGCATATAACTTTTTATCCTTAAGTATCTTGAGCACAGTACGAAGATGAGCATCATGTTTTGTCTTTGTCTTCGAGTATACTAGAATGTCATCAATAAAGACCAATAAACCTTAAAACTATGTTTTCATGATTTTGCTCAATTTTGATTCGATTCAAGCATGAAATCAACTTCCAATCAACCTTACAACATCTCTACAATCAAATCCCAAATCAACTCTCATCAAAACACCAAGTTCTATAATTTCTTCATTTGACCAAAATTTATAGAATCATTTCTAAGTAGTTTGAACATGTTTTAGTCATAATTCATGCTTGATAATGAATCTAAAACCTCAAAAACATCAATATTCATCATCAATTTCATGAACTCTAACATGAACATAAAACCTTAGATTTGGATCTTTGAAATTAAGCAAGTTGAGCAAGCATAATTGGTACCAAAAGATAGCCTTTTTTGACTAGATCACTTTCCTATTTCACAACATAACTTGAAATCCAAAGGAAATGGCTTAAAAATGGAAAACAAATATTTTTCCTTTACCTTGGTATAACTCACGGCAATGGAGAGAAAGATGAACACTTTGGCTTGAATCTTAGATATTTTTCATGCTAAATTTACCTTAAATTTACCTTTAATGAATATTAAATTCATTAAACTAGGAAAATACCAATTTACCCTTAATGAAACTTCATAATTACCATTAAACCAAGACACCTAACCCTTATCATCTTCCAAAATAAGACACTTGAACCTTATCATTTCCCATAAGTCAAAGATGAACAAATAAAATCTTAGTTTACCGATTTGCCCTTACTTTTTCTCCAAAAATCATAATTTTGCCACTTTAAATCCAATAGTCCAAATTAAACATGGAATTAAACCCTTAAATCTAAAAATTTATATTATTTTCCAACATTTAAAAATGTGAAAATAATATTTTCGGTATAAGGTATCATCCTTCAAGTTTTTATGAATTTTTATTCGATCCGATTTACCGAATTTTTTCTCAACTTCCTTGTTTTATAACTTTTATTACACATCTCGGATTAAAATTTTGATTCTCACATAAACATTATTCTTGAGATAAACTATTTATTTCCGAGGCCAAAATGTAACTTTTTGAAATTACCATTTTGGTCCCCTAAACTTTTCCAAAGTTTATACTTGGGTCACTAAACTTTCAAAATTTTTATTTTGATCACTATCTAAATTTTGGGGTATTATAATTTACGCCCCTCATGGACTAAGGTTTACCATTACAGATCATCCTTCGCTCTTATAAGCCTTTAAAAGGCCAAATCTAACATTCCAAGGTGAGTAATATCGATACTCTACTTGTAGTATCAATACCCAGGGTCAAGTATCGATACCATTATGAGTATTGGTACTAAAAATGCATTTTGTTTCCAAATATTAGATCTAATATCAATATGTTACCCTGAGTATCGATACTATAGGGGCAACATCGACACTCTCCCCAAAAGTATCGATACTCCCTACTAAAAACACTAATTTTTCCCCAATTCAACCAGTATCGATATTGTTCATCCAATATCGATACTGGAAACCAGAAATGGCTTATTTAGGCTTAGTAAACACCCAAATGACTTAGTTTGGTTCCTAAACATGTACTAAAGCTTTAGAAAGTTATTTAGGGTCTTAGGGAAGCATAAATACACCTTCTTTACAACTAGAATGTCACTTAATCATGAAAGCATACATAAACCCTAAAATGCTCAATTACACAAATCTTAGCAAAGCTTTACATTTAAGGAAGCCTTAACACTCCATAGGATTAGAAATACACTACTTTAGTATTTATATCCCGAAATGAAACATTTTGCTTAACCACACTCCTTTCCTTGATGATTTGGATGAGAACCCCCACTTTTTCTTTAGCTAAGGATAAACCAAGACTTGAATAACTAAAACGATGTAGCTAGAGGGATTATGAACGAAAATGAAGCTTGAAAAGGAGTAAGAAATGGCTCCAATGACTTACTTTTGGTTTATGGAGCTTGGAGAGGAAGGAGAGGGAAAATTAAGAAGAAGAAGAATAAATGAAGAGGATAAGAAAATGAAGAGATATAAAAGTCTTCATCTTTTAAAAATGGGGAAATTACTGAATTGGTCCTTCCTCATATTTCTACTAGACAAAAATTCTCTTTTTATGGCAAATTGGCTCCAAACCGACCCAATTAGGCTCAACTCAGCCCAACGACTCAAATTATAAATTTCACGAGGTTCACTTACCTCATGCGTAAACCTGAAAATACTAGCCTGGAATTTGGAGTATTACAGAGGTGAAAATGGCACTCCAGTCTCGACTTTTTCAACTAAAATGGCTCTAAAAATAACAAAATAATGCCTTCTTCAATCTCTTAGGCTCAGTAATCCATTTATTATGAGTTTTCAACTCACAAATGTTGTTTTTATGATTCCGAATTTTAACCACCCTTTGAAAAAATGTCGTATTAAAATCTTCCAGTGCAAGCCATTTTACTCGAGATTTCTGCTTCCATAATTCTTCCTTGATCACTTCCTGTAGCCCTATTCTTAACGATTTCAGTTCATGTTGATACTGAATACCGATCACCCCATCATTCCTAGCTTCTTCCAAGTCAACCTTATCTTCAAAAGCCTTCACTTTCACATTGAAATTTTAAAAAAAAATAGTATTTCACTTCCTTAAAGCACCCTTTAATATTTGCAATTTTATATCAATATCAGATCTGTTTCCCGATAGATTTTTAAACGCCATTTCAATAATCTTTCTACATTATTCTTTTTTAAGCCACCCATTTATGAACTTAAACAATTTCGTACTCCAATCAACGCTGCCATTTACTAGCATCACTGGTGCATGATCCGACACTACACGCTTCAGGATAATTTTCTCAAAATTCCCATTACCAAGTGCTCATTGTTCATCCACAAGAAATTTTACAACCTACTCGTCTTACTCGTAGGGACAAATCAAGTAAATTTCTTCCACTTTATTGGGATATCAATCAATCTAAAATCTGAAATAAACTCATTGAAGTTTGTAACCCAATAACGAACCTACACAATCACTCTTTTCGCTTTTATTTCTAACCATGTTGAAATCGCCACCTACCAACCATTTATTAATATCTTTCAACCTTAAACCTAGTATATCTCCAAAGGACAACTTGATCAGATACATTGCATGGAGCGCAAACACGCACAATTGTAATTTTTATTTTTGTACTTAGCCAGCTGCTCAACACACATACCTCTGATTTGTAATTGAATGCTCAACCAAAAATAAGAATTTATTCGACATCACTACTATACCACCTGATTTACCTGCAGCATCTATTTCCCTAAAGCCGAAATCATCATCTTTTGCCTCTACACCTAAACTACGCACATTCCATGTTATAATTCTCATACTTTTAAATTTAAGAATTCGTCAAAAGACAACCCCCTATACCTCCTCTAATCAACTTTTAATCTAATTCTAGTGTTTCCAAATCATTCACTACCTCTAACTCATTTCCAATTACCTGGATCACCAGTTTTTTACCCAGCTCCAAAGTCAACAGTCTCTTTTCGCCGCTTTCACCTACCCTTGAGGTCGAAATCAAACAAGGACCGACCAGTAAGCTCTAAAGACTCCAAATCATGACCCTTCAACTTGCTATTTTTTATAGCTCTGTTTCTTCTTCTTTTATTACGTTCGAAAGTACTTTGTCTTGAATGTCTAGTAAAAAAAAATTCTCCTAACTTTTTTGTTACCACTCACTTGTTCGAGTTCAGGAAAGAAATGAACTTACTCTTCTTCCTCAAGGCTTCGTCTGTATATCTCATTTTCTAGATTCCCCAATTGCCCTTTATTATTTAATTTGCATTCATTCTCTCATCATAAGATATTTAAGATTTTATTGTCAAATGATTAATAATCTATGAAGTAGATAATACCACTTATAATCATTCTAGATTAATAAAATAAACTCTTATCCCATAAAATTGGTTCATTATTGACTTTGTTTGGTCATTTTTTAAAACTTTGATTATTGTTTAAAATTTATAATTGCAAAAAATATATAAAAATATATATTAAAACTTTTAATCAGATAGTTCTCAAATATATATTTTATAAAATTTAATTATTTGAATTAATCATGGTTAAAGTTTAATTTTTTTTTAAAAAAAGATATTTTTTATAGAAATGAATAAATAATAATTTATCCTTTGGAACATCTTATCAAGGAAACAATCCCTAGCGATTATTAATCAAAAAATTAATGAATTTTTATAGGGGTGAATAAAACTCGACTTGACTTGAATTTTGTTTGACTCTATTCGACTCGAATCGACTCCGAGTTACAATTTCATAAACTCGAGTCGAATTAAAAAATTTCAAGTTTAAATCGAGTTGTATTTATAACTCAAATAACTTGAAATTTTTAATAATTAGTGGATTTATTTTTAAGTTTAAGTCGAGTCATTCGACTTTGTATGATATACGTATAGCATATGAAAAAATATGAAAAAAATATATTTGTATTGTATATATGATTATAAAAATCACTTAAATTAAAATCAAATAATATTAAAAATATTTACAATTAAATTTTAACAAAAATTTAAAAAATTGACTCGACTCGAATATTATAAACTCAACTTAACTTAAAATAAGTTTAAAATCAATTTTAAAATAAAACTTATTAACTCGAATAACTCAAATTTTTTTTCCAATAATCACTATCGAACGCTCACCCTTAAATTTCTACCTGTACTTTGGATCCGAAGGAGCACGCAACTTTAATCTAACATGCCTGTGAAGTTAGCATCCATTAACGAGTCATACAAATCAAAGAAAATCAAACCGCTCTGTTTCGGAGTCCCTTTCTTTCTTTCTTTCCGATCTCGCAGATTCCAGTATTTATTTTTCCCTCGATGTTTCTCTTCATTTTTTTTATTTTCTCAGTAAAAAATCAATTAAAAGAAAATTTAAATTTGTTGATCTGGATCCATGAGTATTGGCGATTTTATAGTATTCATCCATCAGAGCTTAAATTCCCATGTAAGTTTTGGCCTTCATCATTCTCTTTTCCTTGTTCTTGCTGTAAATTTTGGTATTAAATTAAAAAGAGAAAAATAAAGCGAATTTAAATGAAGAAAACTAACAAAAGTTTGAAATGTAAATTTTTAATCTGATCGGAGAAATCAAAAAATAGAAAAACAATCAAGTGCTGCAGTTCTGATTCCTAGAAGAAAGTATATAAAAAATATTTAAGTTTTGTTTCTATTATTCTCATTTACGTTTTAATTTCCGTTCGATTTTAACCCGTAAAAGGACTAACCATTAGATGTTTTGATTTTCTGATATGGAATTTCATAGTTGAATTGAGGAGGCAAAGTGTTTGTCATATGCAATTGACCAACAAGACAGATAAATATGTTTCTTTCAAGGTAATTATCTGTGATCGAATTTGATATTGATACACTTATATCATACCATGTAAATTCTCTTTAATCCTATTCGTAGGTTAAAACAACCAACCCTACGAAATATTCCGTCCGTCCCAACTCTGGTATTGTTCTGCCTGGAAGTTCATGCAATGTCACTGGTAACTATTGTGTAATTTATTGGTTTTTAACTAGTTTTTTGTTCATGTTGCAGCTAAGTCATTGACTTTTACTTGTGTTGTCGTTCTTTTCTTCCTCCTAGATAGTATGGCTTATTAACACAAGTTTTTTTTCTCTGGCAGTTACCATGCAAGCTCAAAAGGAGGCACCTCCTGAGCCATGCAGGGACAAGTTCCTCATACAGAGTGTTATTGCTCCTGATGGTTCAACCAACCAAGACATGACCCCAGAAATGGTATGATGGCTATACGACTGTTGTTTGTTTGGTCAACTTATTGGTTTCTGCTTTGTGTTGCATGAGTTTGTGGTTCGAATGCAGTTTAACAAAGAGGATGGTCGGGTCGTGAAGGAATTCAAAATGCGAGTCATCTACATTCCTGCTAATCCTCCCTCTCCTGTTCCTGAAGGCTCTGAAGAGGGGACTCCTCCCAGAGCATCTTCACAAGAAAACGGGAATCAAAATTTTGAAGAGGTATCTATCTTCCATTTTTGCTGGATGGCAAGAAACATTATCTTTTTTTTCCCTAAAGGTTATTTTCCCCCTTTTATCAACTATGACTAGAGAAGTTATTACTCACTAGTGATGTACCTTTTGCATCACTTGTTGCCCGTCTTTATATGAAATTTAGGTATCAAGATCTTTAGAGGATACTAAAGAGAAGTCCTCAGAGGTTTGTCATCTCTCTGTTGCTCAGTAAATATTTCAGACTTATTTCTTCGAAAGAGCATTTCATCTTAATACTAATTGTAGTGATGTTTTCCCTATTAGTACCTTACTGGTTGCCATCTTTAGTTTGTAGGTTCCTTAAATATCCTGTTTTTCAATCTCCTTGTTTTAGAATATGAAGTATGCATTTCAGCTACGTGGACCTAATTGTTATTGTTTACTATTTGGTTTGTGTGAAATGCACGTTTTTTTCATAATCTAGTTACAGTCATGGACTCCTCTGGAATTTTCTTCCTAGTGTGGCTAAAGGAACTCCAGTGTATGCTCATGTTTAGTATGAATAATGATAAATTTCTTGCAAAAAGCTTAAGAAGGTTAGTATTGAAAGAATCTGTAATTGCTCGGAATTAAAGTTTCTCTACCTGCTCTTAATTTGCTTTTTAAGGATAAACGGTAATTATGTTTTAACATATAACTAATTCATAATTGATGCAATGTTGACATAGCAACGTGTGAAATTGTACGCCATTAATGTTTTTATATACGTATGTATGAGATGTACATAGAAAGGGAGGAGTAGCCCTATGTAGGGATGGCAATGAACTGTTTTCCATGTAACAAAATCAATGGCTAGATGGTATATTGCCCCATTTTTTTAACAGTCCTCTGTTTTGTATATATCATGTTAGATATTATTTAAAAAGTATTGTAGTCATGTACTTGCCATTTTCTTATAACATTGGTTTTTAAATGTATGTTTATCTCTAGGCATGGTCTGCAATTTCGAAGTTGACAGACAAGAAAGCTTCTGCTTTGCAACAAAATCAGAGGCTACGTCAAGAACTGGTATGAGCTTGTAGCAGCAAATATCTTTGTCTTGATTATCTTGTGAATAAGAACGCCAATCCATGTTCCATTTCATAGTCTCTTATGCATCATGTTCATCTTTTCTAAACAGCTTATAATAGTATTAGTTCCATTAATGCTGATTTGTCTTATTTCAACTCTTAAGTTAAAAGGCGCAAAATTTAAATCATGAATTGGTTTGAGCAGAATTTCAATGTTGGCATAGACACGATGAATGCTTTGTGGTTATTTTATCTTGGTTACTGCAATCATGTTGGTGTTCTGTAAGAAGTATTTCTGCATACTACTGCATTGTACTTCCTCCCATTGCCATAGTTGCCTAGTTTTCGAATTGGTGCTGATTTACATATATTATCTTTTTATTATTATTATTTTTATTCATGCTCATTATGGATTCACCATAACACATTCCTTGTGCAGGAAATGATGAGAAAAGATATCAGCAAGAGTCGTTCTGGTGGCTTCTCTCTAATGTTTGCGATACTAGTTGGTCTTCTTGGGGTCTTGATTGGGTATCTTGTTAAGAGATCTTAGACTCGAATTAAAAATTGACGGAGCAAGCAGTAATTAACCACTGTTTTCAAAATGATGTTTTTCATGACTTTTAGGTTCTTGCCTTTTACTGTGTAAAAATTGTAGCCCTGATGAAATGTGTTAATCGGTAGTTAAATGATTGATAGTTCAAGTTGATCAGGTGAATTGATTTCGTGATAGTCTCAAGCTTATTTAAACTAAGATATTGTTAATCAATTTGGGTTTTCCAAGCTTCCCTCAAACCCAAACTTACACAAGTAACATGCTTGGTTGGTTAAAATGTTGTATTTTGAGCCAGCATGAGCAAAGCTGATGATAGTGTGTTTCGAGCATTGGCTACATCGATCTTGATTGGACCACCCCCTCTGTTTCTGAATTGTTTCAGGCTAAACTGGTCAATTGGTTTAGTTACTAACGTTTGACATCTAATTTTTTGACATATGGTAGATTGAAACTCTTGGGCTCACACTCTGTTGGGTGAGTTTAGAATGTTGCGTGGCTCAAGCATTTTGTTCTTCAAACGTCCCCCTGTTTTGCATGCGTAATAAAAAAAAGGTTATCCTCAAAAGCAAAGCAAAACAAACATGGATAACATGAAAATACGAGAGAGAAAGAAATCTACAGATATTCGAATTCACGCATTCCATTAATCCCTGCCCCTAAATCACTTCTGATATAGACCTGTTATTTGAATTTAGAATAACAGTTAATGAATGGGCCTGATGTATCTTAGTTTAACGGTTTCTCTGGCCCATTACAGTAGCCCGGTAAAAAAATTGGCAAATAAGGGTGTCAAGATTTAGTTGGGGATCTATGGCATATTTTACAATATGGGGAACTCGTCATCTCGAGGTGACGAGTTCTGTGGGATAATATTTTTATATTCATCGTCTATTATTTTAATTTTTTTGTGGAACTTGTGAAGAGTTCTTTTAAAAAATATTATTTTTAAGATTTTTAATTTGAATTGAGAATTTGAAAGAAAAAAAATAACTGAAACTCATCATGTCGAGATGACGAGTACCTTTGGTTTCGAATATATAGCCATTTAGATTTGGAAAAAGAGTTGTTGGTAGCCGTTGAAACTCGTCGTGTGGCGTGATGAGTTCCAACGTTCATTTTCATAAATTTTAACTATAAATAAGAGTTGGGATAGTTGACAGAGTTATACGAGAACCAAATCATGCATTTGTGGGAAGAATATTTCAGGCAATCTCCGAAAGATCATTTTGGGTCTAATTACTCTGATATTGATGATTCGGATTCAAGCTTGTCTTATATAATGAGGGGGTGAAATAGTCAATAAAGTCGATTCTTGATCAACATAAGGAGATGAAAAGGGAGGAGAATGAGGAGGAGGAATAAGAATAGAAGAAGAGAAGAAGAAGAATGAAGACTTACAAAACCGACGCAACAAGCAACAAACGACTTATTGAGAGGAATGAGAAAAATAATAATGTAAAAATTAAGAGGAAGAATAAGAGGAAAATGTAATACCCCCAACCCGTACCCGACCCAGATACGAGTCTGAAATGTCACATTGACTTTTTAAAACAATATTTTTAACAAAATAATAAAACATTTGGACTGATATAACTAAAATATGACTAAAATATGATAATATACATAGGTTTATACAAAGTTCATCAAAATGCTCAGAGCATACACAACTTAACCGTTTAATTACATGCCAACATTCATTTACATAACAAAATGACCTACTGATTAAGTTGCTTCTGATATGGTAGTTGCAAGAGTGATACTGTCCCAGCTGCTTAACCTTGATCGTCTACTTTCTCGGGTCCTACGTGTAAAACACTCACATGCTAAGTCATTGACTTAGTGAGGCAATATAATAATAACAATGAAATATAATGAAAATGCCAAAATTCCAAAATGAGATGGAGTGCAATGAGAATATGTATTTAATCAGTGCAATATCCATAACCATGTTTCTTGCACATAGGCTTATCAAATTAACATTCATAAGTTGTTATTAACAAGTTCACTAGCCCATGATACCATACTGAGAACCTAAGGTATCTGAGTACTGTGAGGTTGTGCACTATGCTGTCACCACAGCTCATATAAATGCACCAAAGTGCCACGTAGATTTGCGCCGAAGTGCCGCGTAGAAATGCACCGCAGTGCCATATAAGATGTCCCTAAGAACTACATATAAATTTCTTAAGAATCATATACATATGCCAAGGATCACATATGTGTCTCAACAGACCTCATACATGTTCCAAAGACTTCATATATGTCCCGAAGGACCGCGTAGACCCTTTACTCTTGGAATGCCAACTATACCTATAGTTCTCATCTACATAACATGAGCTTTTCTCAATTTTCATAGTATATCACATCGATATATCATTTCCTTACCTTCATCACATAACTCATATAACTTTTCATACATATTCATTTAAAACATGTTACACAATGCACATGGTATGAATTCATATCATGTTTTATAATCTAAAATGAATCGTGTATCAAAGTATTAAATCTAGGCTTATCACAAGTCTAGAACTGAAGATGCTACTAAAATAATGCTATGCATAAGCACTCACCTAGATCTCTTTGCATTTCCCCCGATCGTTCTTACTTCCCAAATGTTTCAGAATTTCTTTAGGCTCAGAATCTACATAAATATACATTTTAAGGTAATTATAAGATATCTACACCTTGTAATTGATGCTAATAACTTAAACGAATTTAATAGACCAATATTCACTTTTTCCTTTAGGGGGTATCGATGCACTATGAGTGTATCGATACACTCATTAGGTTCGAAATTTCCATGCATCAATGCCTGCTAGTGTGTATCGATACACGGGTATCGATACACCCCTGAATGTATCGATGTACTATGTAACAGTTCTTCAAAATTTGGTCTTAGTGCATCGGTACCTATTCATAGTGTATCGATACACCTGCCCATAATAGCCTATTTTCACCCAAAATTCATCAATACTTCACCCAAATTTCATGTATAAAACCCTTATTTTTCTGTCAAACTCATCTATAACCATTATAACTAATTTTTATCATTTCAACACCTTATAATCTCTCATAGTTCATCTAAATTCTTAAAACTAAGAATCTTACCACATTTTCCATGTTATCCAAACTTAATTCTAACTCTTATAACTTCGTATTCTCATAGATGACAAGTCAAATTCAATCTCCAAATTCATTTGAACTCTCTTATTCAAATTTTCACTTAAATGCTTAGTATCTTCAATCCTCCATAACTTGTTATTCTTTGAGTTTCTAAATCCCTTTTTCTTTCCATCATCTTTCCTAGAGCTTTATTAATAAAAACCATGCTTAACTCTTAAGAATTAACCAAAATAAATCCATCTTACCTTTTCTTATGGATTCACGGTAGAGAAGAAGAGAATGAAGAAGAGAAATCTGGAAACTTTGTTTCCAAATCATAGGCTCCATGTGGGTATAAAAATAACCTCAAATAATATTTAATTATCTCTCCTACTAAAAGACCCATTTGCCCTTTTAATTCCTTCTTCTTTGCTATATTATCCTAGACAAAACATTTCAATCAAGTCCTTGAACTTTTCAATTTATCTAATTTGGTCACTGAATTATAAAATCTCATAATTCGATCACTAACCAGGTATGGAGGATGTTATAAATCTTCCCCTTAAGAAAATTCATCCTTGAATTTTCATTGCACGAACAGATAGGGGTATTGATGACGCATATCCTCTTCACGTTCCCATGTTGCCTTCTCTACTTTGTGATTTCTCCAAAGAACTTTGACCAACGGGACTGTTTTATTCCTCAATTGTTTAACTTCATAAGCCAATATTTGTACTTCTACTTGTTCTGGTGCAACGATGTGAAAGGGATCAGACCTATACCTCCGCAACATGGACACATGGAAGACGTTATGGATTTTCTCCATTTTCGGTGGCAAAGATAACTGATATGCCACTGGTCCTATTCTCTTAACAACTTCATATGGCCCAATGAATCTAGGACTTAACTTTCATTTCTGACCAAATCATAATACTTTGTTCCATGGAGATACCTTCAGAAACACTTTATCTCCAACTTCAAATTCAATCTCTTTTCTTTGAAGGTCAGAATAGGACTTTTATCGATCAAATGCCACTTTGAGATTATGTTGAATTTCCCAAACTTTCTCTTCCACATCTTGAATCAAATGTAGACCAAGCACGCTTCGATCTTTGAGCTCATACCAGTTTAATGGCATACGACATTTTCTCCCATATAATGCCTCATAGGGTGCCATCTTAATACTGGACTGATAACTATTGTTGTAAGCGAACTCTGCCAGTGGTAAATACTTCTCCCACGAACCTTTGAACTCGATTACACATGCTCTCAACATATCTTCCAAGATTTGAATTGTTCTTTCTTATTGCCCACCCGTGTGAGGGTGATAGGTCGTACTAAAATTTAAGTGAGCCCTCAACGCTCCATGCAAGGATTTCCAGAACCTCGAAATGAATCGAGGATCTCGATCAGAAACTATAGAAACATGTAGTCCATGCAATCTAATAATTTCTCTAATGTACAACTCCACATATTTTTCCATAGAGAAATTAGTTCTGACAGGAAGAAAATGTGCTGAGTTGGTCAATCGGTCAACAATTACCCAGATTGAGTCTCTTTTGTTCGGAGTCAGGGGTAATCCTGAAACAAAATCTATCGTCACATTTTCCCACTTCCATTAAGGAATAGAAAGTGGTTGCAATAATCCAGACGAAACTTTATGTTCGGTTTTGACTTGTTGGCATACCAAACACTTAGACACAAATTCAGTAATGCTTTATTTCATCCCTGGCCACCAATATCGATCCATCAAATCCATGTACATCTTGGTTCCACCTGGGTGCATCATCAATGGACTACAATGAGCCTCTATCAATAAATCTTTCTTTAACTCCTCATCGTCGGGTATCATAATTCTTCCTTTATAATACAAATTCCTATCTGACTTAACCTCAAAATATTTAATCTCTTTATTCTTTACTTGCTCTATTCTTTACAAACATATTTCTTCTTACTTTGTAATTCTCCTAATCGATCCAACCATGTTGGATTAAGTTTTAACTCTGCACATAGACCACCGTCTCCAGTCAAAGATAACCTTCCAT